TATCTAGTTGACATTTGCCGATTTCATGATTAAATATGCATTTGACACAACGAGGATTGTATGTGCAATTTGAGCTAGTATGTTCCAGACGCCAACAACTGAGACATTGGCTTACACCGTTACTTTTAAATTCTTCAGCAATAACGCCGTATTGGTTACCAATTGATTTGACTTCGAATATTCTTTTCTTGTCCGTGTTAGGCTCAAAGGAAGCATGCCACATTGAAGAAGTTATATTATTTTCCATCATATATTTGGTTTGAAATTTAGTTAGCCGAATTGGATTAAGGCCATAATCATAATTCAAAAATTCAGTTATTTCATTTTCGTTGTAGCACATAGGAACATTTTTAAAAAGAATATGGATAATTTTCCGTTCATTAGGTGTGTAAGTGTGGTATTTAATACCATTTAATTTAAGTAATGATAATAACGCATCATATTGTTGAATTGTATTTACGAATATTCTATATTTATTTTTGTTAATTCTAACAAAATAATATTCATTTTTTTTGCAGATGTTTTGGTTGATTATTTTTTCATTCATTCTTTTCTGATCATTATCATATACCACTATCGATGGTATTTTTTTATCACGTTTCATTTTTGTTGTAGTTGTTTGTTTGTTTTCTTGATTCTTTATGATGTTTGACACTTCAGTTGTTGTAATTTGTAACGAGTTATTTAAGAGAGTTTCTTCTTCCATTTCACACAAAATTTCATCAACAGTCTCTTCATCTGAGCTTATGTCATCTTTGTGAGCAAATTCTCTCTTACTTTGTGAGTTTGAAGCAGTAATTATTTTGCGTCTCTTTAACTGATTTTTAGTTGTTTGTTTTGCTTTAGTTTCCATTTCAATAATTTGTTTCTTCAATTTTTTGTTTTCTTCAACTTGCTCAAAAAGTAAGGCATTCAGTTTTTGAATCTCTTCAATAAGCTTATGAACTTTCTCTTCTAACAAATGAGTGTTAGTGGGGTGACTGTTTGCTACCTGCTGTTGTGTTTTGTTTTCGCTTTCAACTTCTTTTCCGTTAGAATTTAGATCAATGTTATGAGAAGTTATGTATGTTTTATTGTACAAAAGCAAAATTTCTTCTGAAACAATAATTTCAATTGTAACAGTTGACATTTTTTTATATGAAAAAATATATTTGAGAGTATTTTTGCCTGTTCCATTAATTTCGATTATAGTTCCTTTAGGAATACAAAGTAATGTTTTAAAAAACTCTGTCTGGCAGTCAGTTTTTAAGAGTTGAATACATAGTTCAGGATCCATATGCAAACTTCTCAAGTTATAGCAGAACTTTTGAAACATATCCGAATTCAGAATGTTTTGTTTTATTTTGACTTTATCAACGAGATTTTTAAATTGTCTCGTAAGACGTTCACCATCGCTGGTGTCACTCATTTTGGAGTAATCAAATGAATTACGCGCTGAAATACGTCCGAACACTTCGCTTGTTAAACGAAAACTGAACGTCTGTATATGAAATGCCTAAAGTGTCGGTATGGACCAACAAAGTAATCTACTAACAGGTTTCCATCTACGCGTTTCATCCGGTAACCAACCGGACTCATCAGAATGGACTATTAAAATTAATCATTACCATCAGTATGTAATGTTATAAATATCCGTCAATATGTATTATAGTATTGTAGATTCTATAACTTATTTTATGATATGATAAATAGGTATAATAAATAAATGAATGGGTATATAATAAATGAATAAATTAATAAATTAATATATATATAAAGCTCTTCAATTATATACTGAAGATCCTTATATAATATGAGTAATATGAATAAATTTCAAATTAAATGAAGGCTAAAAACACCTTAAAAAACGTGGGGGTGTACACGATACATTCCTTCAAAATCAAAATACGGTATTCTTCAATATCCAAATCATTGTAGATTAAGTACATGAACTATTTAAATTTACTTTTAAACCATTTAAATTTATTTAGAGGTTGAAATTAGATTTGTGTTTTGATTTGGATTTGGGAGGTCACAGGATCTCGACGCCAGGTGCCCCTCTCGCTCGACACCTACCGCCGGTACTGGGGATCCGACTCCCTGCACCGTAACTTCAAAATTTTCTGTTGACATTAGTTATACAAAAACGCCTCCTCCCTGTAAGGTTTCTTTAAAAGTCTGCCACCCTACGCACAAAAAGACTCGGACTCGACCGCCCCTGACATGGAGAAAAACAGACGTCGTTGTGTGCCGCCCCTACTTTGGGGAAAACAGACGCACACAGGCAGGTTTTAGTTGGTTGCTCATCAGCCGGCTTGTCTAACATGGGAAGCCCTATCAGGGGTTAGCATACTATTGTGTGGCTACCCCCGTTAATGAAGCCCGACGAATCACTGCAGCCCTAAGCCCCCACACCACGACAAGGTACCCACCAAGTGGGGGTATTAAGTCCTTTACTTTTTTCCTTTCCAGAAATAGTCATTCGCTCATAACATGACTTTGGGTGGTGAAATTTGTATTCTGTGACCATAGTTCGTATTTTCCGCTGCATTGTTTTTATTTCAGTCGTTGCCCATTTGAAATAGCAAAGATATTGATTGTTTTTATTAAAAATTTTCCTTGCAGATTTGCCTTGGTTATCTTATGAATATGTCCCTTAAGTTCACTATATATTCAACGATTTTTCCACGAACAATGCTGATTTTTTTACATTTTTCAATGTCTTACTTCATTCCAATGTCATTACTAAAGTCCTCGACTATTTAATAAGGTTATCTAAGGTTTCTCGCGTCGAAGCATATATCTTTAAAGCATCCATATACAGGATATGATTTGTTCTACATTCCCGAGAATTACTTTTAATTTAGCCATAGCTTAGCTGCTTGCTCCAATATTATTTGGTCAATTATAAGTTGTTCTTTACATTCTTTTGTTTTTTACATCCGTTCTACGCACATAATATCGTTTTGTGTAAGGTATGTATTAATAAGGTTGCTAATACAAGCAGTCAAGTAATTTATATTATACCGCAAATATCCCGATTTTAAAAAATTACGCACTATACATACACTTGACTCACTATTTCACTTGAAAGAACAGGAATGCCCGTTGGTTTACATTTACAATTATGTATGGCAGAAATGTTCTAATGTAAATTTCTGTCTTTACAAACTGAATCAGCCATCTGTAGTTATTTAATTTATTCATTTTTAAGATATTTACATTTAACTTCAATTTGTTAATATAGTCAGTAAGTTCTTGAACTTTGTACGAAGGGGATAATTTATTAATAAGATGTAATAAAGGTTTTTCACTTACTGGTGTGAATGTATAAAAATGTATAAATGTGAAATGTGAATGTATAAAATTTTTTTGGTTACTATCAAGGATTTTACTATATTGTAATCTTCTATCGTACCGGCATTAATATGGGTCACGTTCTTATTGACTATATTAAATTTTATTCCTGAGGCACTGTGAATTGGTGCGTAAGTTAACATTTTTCTCTGGCTGAAATATTTGGTGATTTTCCAGAATTGATTAGAGACATCTTCTAGGGTTTTCAGGAACTCTTCCCATTGTGTGTTACGATAAAGATTGAGTTTTTTTTATTATGTTTGTTACTCTATGCGCTTTCATTTTATTTGCTAGACTCCCTGTTTTTTGCGCTCTGCTTCTAAGTTTGTTCTTCCTTTGCATTAGCTTCTTAATGTCGATAGGCAGATTAAAATAATTGCGGATATTGATATCTTTTTTGGTTGTACATTGGATGACTTGTTCTATTCTGGTATTCCAGTAGTTTGGCCAGAATGTGGTTGATGTCTATGCTTACTGCTTCAGGCTTTTGCTCTTTTTTCTTCGCCATAATTATTTCTTTGTCTTGCCGCACTATTTCTTGTTTCTATCACAATAATTAAAAACACTTGTAATATTTACTTGTTTCTATCAATTTTTAATTGTTTTTTAACTTTTTGAAGTTAAGGTTAGGTATACTTTATAAGTAAGGTATTTACTATAAAATACGTGTTTTCAGCACGATTGTTGAAATTAAAGTCTTTATTTCTTATTTCATTATACAAAAATAATACATTAGTTTTGAAAAACATGCTACTTTACCGTTTCTATAAATTTAGAGTAAACAAGTAGCAACAATTTAAAGGACGATGAGTTGATCATGCCATCAAACCGTTTCTCCAAATTTATAGAAGCAGTTTATAATTATTGCTTAAAGGCAAGGGCGGATTAATACGATTATGTTACTTATATACATTTATTGTCTCTATCAATGATTTTTTATATTATTACCTGCGTTAGTCACTTTGTTTGTTTGTTCACAATTTTATTATTTCACTTATTCACTTTTACCTTTTTTATAATTTTTTTATTATGTAGTCCTTTAAACCACTGACGGTCGGGTCGTCGTCGGTCGTTCACAACGATAAATGCACATTGTATGTGTTTTGTCACTGTTTTTAAGGATATGTTTAAGGGATAAGTTGTTTTAGGGTTTGAAAGATTCGTGCGTCATAATCTGATTCATAGAATTCTTTCTGCTTAAATGCAATAGACAAATTTATCGATTGCTGACAGAAGATTTTCTGTCGTATAGCAGTTTACAATACCAAAATTCGATTCTGTCTATCAGCAATAGAAGCTTTTCTACAATCTATTAGCAATAGACATCCCATATTAACATTCATCAGTATTATGGCCAAGGTTCGTATTTGCTCACTCATGAGCAGCTCAGGCTCATGAGCAAGAGCCAATTCTTATGTGAGTCCAAAATTGGCTCATATTAAAGAGCTGCTCACCAGCGTGAGCCTTCAAGTTGCTCATATTGAAGAGCTGCTCATGAGGTCTCACGAGCCGAGAGTTCACGACCTCATCTGTTTAATAAAAAGCGATTTGTTAGTTATATGTGAAAATACATAATTTGAAATTAAGTTAGCTTATTATTATTTATATTTAAACAATATAATGAAACAATAATTTGAATTTGAAAAACAAATTTATAAAATATTATTATCAGAAATATTTAAGCACATATTTTTGGAGTTAAGCTCTTGAAAATTTAATTTAGTTATTAGTAAGTTGTTTATTGTACTATTACTTAATCTAGATCTTAATTTAGTTAAAACTAGAGAAAGTGCGCTAAAAGCTCCTTCCACCGATACTTGTGTAGCTGGAACAGCTAATGTAACTGCTGCAACTTTTTTAATCTCCTTATAATTGTTTGACGTTTTCCAATAGCTTAAAATGTCAGTATCAAGAGGAACACCTTTTTGGCTGGCAAGTGCTATGAGCTTTTGTTTAAAGGTGCGATTTGTTTCGGTGTTAGCTGTTATATTTGCCATCACTCGCTACTGCAATTTTGAATAAGGTGCTGCAGAAGTAGTAGGAAACTCAAACATCATATCAGATGAGATATTTGGAGAATCTGGTTCATTTCCTACTTTCCGTAAGTCCTCCAATTTTGTTAACCTTTCAAAAGTTGCTGTGAGATACGCCTATGAAAAATATAAGATATTAAATTAAAATTTGTTTAATGAACAATAATTTTCAAAAATACAATAATTTTTATAAATATAAATATAAGTATATTTGCACCACAGCTGTTGATTTTTGATTTTCAGACAGCATAGTTGAATTTTCAAAATTAAAACGGGGATCAAGATAAAGCGCGACTTGGAATGCATCACTATCCATAAATATTTGTTTCCTTTTTTGCATTGATTCATGTAAATGTGATGCGTATGGTGTTTTTGTTACTAATTCCTCTAACTCTATCTCGCCACATAACCAATCTCTATAAAAATCACCAATTACGTACTGCTCTATTTGCATATGTTTAGTACAAATAGCCAATGGGGTAAAGGCAGTTACAAAATTTACAACGAAATCCCAAGATATATCTGGAATTTCAGACTTTTCAAAATATATAGTGCTTCTATTATCTCTCTCATTTTAAGTAAATTATTCAACATCTCATAT